AAACACATTAATCTGAGATCAGTTGCTGTTGCTTCTTCTCAAACCATTACACCCTAATTGAGACAATCGATTTGGGCAGGCTGTCCATATCAGCATCTGAAAGCTGGCTTGTGTTTACTCCAATTGCTCCTTGATGATCTTTCCTCTTTTGTCTGCGTGCATTTCTTGTAACCATTGGTAAAGTTGCATGCCAGTGCTCTGCCAAGACAAGAAGAAAGTCCTAAATATCATCAATATGGTAATGAAGTATTTGTCTTGGGCCCAGGAAATTTGCATTTACAAGGTGAACGATGCAGAGATTACTTAATCCTCCAAGAGTGCTGGTAGTATCTATTGTCAAGGAAGCGCTATGTGTAATGAAAAGTCACCTTGGCTGGTGGATTTGGAGGGTTCCATTTTCAGTTGGCACCATTGCTCAGAACAGATCCTCTTTCCCTTCTCTTCCCCCTCCTGCTTCTGTAAGCAAAGCCACTGGAGTTCTCTGTGGCTTCCTTCTTGAATGTTTCCAAGCTGCACACAAGTAATCACATTCTTAATCTTCCACTTGAAACCATAATATTCATTTGAGTTCTTTGGTTCTGAATGAGACATATTTACTGGGTGAGTTTTGTTCATTTGCACTCAGTTCTTTTATGATTGGTTACCTCTAATCTCATTAGATTTCCTACCTGCTAAGCATGAAGAAAACAAAGCTGATTCTTGTTGCATCCAAGAATGCCAGTTGACCAGCTGCTAAGCCAAGAATTCAGAGGGGGGAAGAAGGCTATCCAAGAACAGTTTCTAATCTAATTCTTGCTTTCAAAGCATATGTAATGCTACGCTAATGTTTGGCTAGTTCAATAATTTTTTTTCTTCCCCTACTTTGAACTCACCTTTTCGCTATAGGAAAAGTGTTCCTATGGCAGATGATCAGCCACAATGGTAATTGGAAGAAAATGAATTGAAGACCATTATATTGTGGAATTTCATTTCCCCAGTTCATATTCTTAGCAACTTCAGGGAAGGTCTGTGGTCTGTGTGTTCCATGGCAAGAGAACAAATAGATTTATAGGATATTTTCAGCAGTGTTCCTTGAGCACATCTAATGTGTGGTCTTATCCTGAGACGGGTATTCATTGCAGTAGTTTGGGCTGTAACATGTGACATGCATGTATTTGCATGGTTGGTTCTTAACTTGTAGCCATACGTTGAAGGATGTGACTGAAAAGCATGATCAGATGCTGAACTGCAACAACTCAGCTGGAGTATCTCCTCAGTTGGGATGTTGTGCTTCTTCACCATATTTGTTGTGACTTGAAACTATGGACTGTGTAGGGCCAGCTTGAAGACAGACAAGCATCAGAAACAGGAACACTCAAGTCAGGATATTCCAGAACCGAATTGTTGATTGACCTAAGGAAAGCATTTGTAATTTCTTTATCCTCTTCCTTTTGAGTCTCAGTATATGACCGATTAAAAACTGCAGGATCCAGAAAGTTACTGAAGAAAGTATCTATACATTACAGGTGAAGGCAAAACACTTCAGAGTCACTGGTCAATCTGATTCAGGATGTGTTTTTTTTCTTTAATGGTAGATATAGCAGTCAATTTTCTTACAAAAGAAAAATCCATCTAAACATATCCAGACAGCTGTTTTGCTGTGTTCCCTTCCCATCCAAAAGTCAGTGAGAACTTATCCTATCCCAGATTGTGCTGCCCCCATAACATGCACTTACCAAGCACCTGGAATGAGTTTCTGCTGTGTTACTGTCCATAACACCTTTAATATACAACATTCCAGCTGCCATGATTTGAAATTCCAGTTTTGCCCAACGTCATCCATCAGATGAAAAGGTTTCTTCTGATTGCCATGCACAATGTTCTGGTAACTCTGTGCACAGCAGGTTTTTTTTTTCCTTTGTTCTTTCCTGTTGTGTCACTGATTGATTGATTTTTTTTTTTTTTAAATCCTTGCAAGTAGTCCTCGCTTACCAACAGTAATTGGGACCGGGAACTCAGTCGCTAAGCAATGGAGTCATAAGGGGTGATGTCACGTGACCACACCAACTTACTAGGGCAGTTCCAGCAGTCCCAGTTGCTGTTATTAGGCAAATCCTACACAGTTGCAGCGTCCTGTGGTCACATGATTGCCATTTGTGACCTCCTGCTGGCTACCCCATTGCCTCTGCTTGTCAGAAGCCAGCAGTGAAGGTCACAAAAGGTGTTCATGTGACCGTGGGCCACTGCAACATCGTAATTGCAAGCAGGTCATCTAGTGCCCAAATCATGATCTTGTGACTGCAGGGACAGTGCGATGGCCACAACTACAAGAACCTGTTGTAACTACCCCTTGTCCAACACCATCGTAACTTTGAGTAGTTGCTGAACAAGTGGACATTAAGCGAGGACTACCTGTACAATTTTGGGTTGATAGTTCATTCTTTCAATTACTAGGTGGCAGCAAAGTGTTAGCGTTTTTGTCTCTCTACGCTTCCATCTGGGGGTCATCTGGATTTGTCTAGCTGAGATGTGGCCAGTGAACTTCCCTAGGAACAGTGGCTACTGGGAAGGGAATTCCCTGCTAGGCAAGCTACAGAAGTACCAGAACCAAATCCTTTCAATTACACTTCCAGTTACATGCTGTAAGTCAGGCACGGGCTTGTCAGTTTCAAGTTTTCCCCACTCTAGGTTCAGCAGCCCATTTTTTAAAAAATGAAGAGGCTGTGGGAGTCAGAGTTATGGTCTCCTTTGTAGCCAAAAGAGCTGAGGGTCTGGCAAAGAGGAGGGGGACCAGACTGAAAGGGAGAGTCCGTCAGTGTCCCTCATTTAGGAAAAATGGTATTTTCCTAATATATCACCCAAAGACCCTTATACATGTGCAGGCAAATAAACAATCAATGTACATTAGAAAGGTGGCCTGAAATTATGTGACCTGAACTAATTGGTGCCTCAGTGCTGCGAGTTTCTTATTAGGAAAATACCATTTCCAGGATATAACAGTACAAGCTGTCCTTGCTGTCTCAGCTTTGGGAAGACAGAAGTGGAGACATGTAGACGTACCCTCAGAAAACAGTTACAGGGGTCTCCTCATGCAGGTCAAGGGAGCTGTGTGTATTGGCTCTGTTCCACACTAATCTGTGTTTGTAGCCAAATGTGCAGGCATGAATGATTTCTGCCGTTACTTGTTCAGAAAACACTAATAACAAATGAGACTTGCTAACTGGTTTTATCTTAGACGGGCTTGTTAGCTGTTGCATATGTTTCTACCATATTTTGTATGTTTGCAGATGTGCAGGCATGTAGTGCGCAAGTGTGTTTAATTTGTAAGGTTTTAATTATTTTATTTTATTTTATTTTATTTTATTCCATTTGGATGCCAGCTGTCTTTGAAAGTGGCACTGAGAATTTTATTTAAAAGTTGTTCCTTACAGAAACAAACAGATAAATCAACAGAACTGTATATTATCCAATTCTTACAGTTCTATGACTGACTTCTGAGCAGTTCTCCATTCAGTTTAGGTTGGTTTTCAATCCACATTTCTTAAGTTTAATTGACAAAATCTGCCAGATCTTAATTTTGTCCAAGTTTCAGCCCAGACTTTATTGCAAACTGGGGGTGGGGGGGGTGTGTGATCAAGTTTGGAAAATATTGGCTACTTCTCCTGAAAATGAGTATTCTGTCTAATCAGGAAAGTAGGTTTTCTCATGTAGGAGTATGATTTGGGCATGAAAAATCCCAAAGTGGACATTCTGCTTTAATAGACACCCCTATCCCACCTATTATTCTATTAAATGAAGGCTTTACTCTCTTGTAGAAGGCTGAATGTTACACCAACTCGTAAAGCCTTCCTTTAACAAATCTCATTTCAGGCTTCTATAAGATATGGAAATGATTTGCCACTGGCTCCTTCTGGGAATTTTACATTTCCAATATAGCTATAATTTTGGTGTTCCTGGTGGTGTCCCATCCAAGTAGTAATTAGGCCTGATCCTGCTTATCTTCCAGTCTTAGAGTATGTCTGACACATGCTAGAACCTGCTGAAGTCCTTGGAGCAGGCTGTATTTGCAGATGAAATGAAGGGGTGGGAACTGTCTTGGCAAAATGTTGGATCTACTTTAAAACATAAATAAAATGCAAAACAAGTTATTTTGTTTTGCAGGCTTTAAGATGCCACTTTCCCCAGTATTATTCACTGGATGTTGAAGATGGGCAAGGTAATAGCGCTCTGATGTCATGTAATTTAAAAGGCAGGCAGCTAGAAACGCTCATTCCTTTATAAAAATTAGTCCAGGAGGTAGATGTGGAATGCGGACCTAGGCTTTGACCTTGGTGGGTTCTCTGTATTTAATTGAGCAGGGTGATTGGATATGTATTGATATGTATGGTGATTGTATGTATGGATGCATGTATTGTGGTTGTATATGTATGGATGCTATAGCATCCATGGCATTGTTTAACCAATGCCAGGTTAGCAGGTAGAATCTACTAACAGTAAATGTTTGCCATTCATTTACAACAGAGGGCTTAAAGGTTGCATCTGAGGAGTGACCTGTTGGTTGGTCAAATTCTTACAGAGCTCTTTAACACTATCCATTGTAGACTATTAGTAGGCAATCTATAACTCTTTAATATTGCTCTTGAACTTGGAGAAATGCTAAAACAGGCTGGAACCTTACCCACCTTACTGATTACAGCCTACCAGTTGTAGTTGTCCACCTATCAGGCACTCTGATGTATTTTTACCACTGGTCTGAGGCTATAAAAAGAAGTTTATTATTCAATTTTTTATAGTCGCCTAACTCATATACATGACTCTTACAAACAATTGTAATTTGAGAATTGTAAAGCTTCTTTCTGGCAGATAGGTAACTTTCAGCTTGGTGGAATATAGCTTCTGTTAGAATTTGGTAGGTGATTTGGAAAGCAAAACTGATTCCATTTATACAATTTTAAAAACAATTTCCTAGGTCAAACCATATTTCTTGCTAATCAGTGCCCTCTTTTTGCTTATTTTTAAAGGATGAAAGAATGATGTGATGGAGAAGAATATGGGCCACTGGTCATATCCTTTGGCCCCTGCATCTGGCCTCATCTTCCTGCTTGTTCAGCTTCTGGCTAACATCTGTCATGGCCTTCAAGGGAATTTACCACTGGGCTTCCACTTTACACATTCCATTTACAACACCACAGTGTACGAAAACTCAGCGGCACGGACTTACTTGAACAGTCAAAGCAGAATGGGCATTGCTACAGCTGACTTTTCTTGGGACATCAAGTACAGGATAGTATCTGGTGATGATGAAGGTTTTTTCAAAGCAGAGGAAGTTGCAATAGCTGATTTTTGTTTCCTTAGGATAAGAACTAAAGGAGGAAATTCCGCCATACTGAATCGAGAAATCCAGGACAATTATTTATTGATAATAAAAGGTTCTGTCCGGGGAGAAGACTTGGAAGCATGGACAAAAGTGAACATACAGGTTTTGGACATGAATGATTTACGGCCTTTATTTTCACCTACCACCTATTCTGTAACAATAGCTGAAAGCACACCTTTGAGGACTAGTATCGCACAGGTTACTGCAACAGATGCTGATATTGGTTCTAATGGTGAATTTTATTACTACTTCAAAAATAAAGTTGATCTCTTCTCAGTCCATCCCACCAGTGGGGTTATCTCCTTAAGTGGCAGGCTAAACTATGATGAGAAAAACCGATATGACCTTGAAGTTTTGGCTGTGGACCGTGGGATGAAGCTGTATGGTAACAATGGAGTAAGCAGCACTGCCAAACTTTATATACATATTGAACGTATAAATGAGCACGCCCCAACTATTAATGTAGTAACGCATGTTCCCTTCCCTTTGGATAAGGAGTCTACGTATGCTGTTATTAATGTTGATGATATAGACGAAGGTGCTAATGGTGAAATTGAATCTGTTTCTATTGTTGCTGGAGATCCCTTGGAGCACTTTCAGTTGGTTAAGGAGGGGAGATGGATGAATGAGTATAAAATCAAAGAGAAAAAGGCCATTGATTGGGACAGTGTTCCGTATGGTTACAATCTTACTTTGCAAGCCAAAGACAAGGGGTCTCCTCAAAAGTTTTCAGCTATGAAACTGGTCCATATTACCAGTCCCAAGAGAGACGTGAGTCCAGTCAAGTTTGAAAAGGAAATGTATGATGTAGCAATCAGTGAATTTTCTCCTCCTGGAGTAGTTGTTGCCATAGTTAAATTAACACCAGAAACCCAGGGGGAAGAATATAAATTAACTCCCAATGAAGATGCTGAATATTTTAAGATAAATCCCAGGACAGGTCTACTTACCACAGCACATCCTTTAAAAATTGTTGACAAGGAATTGTATGACTTAGAAGTAACAAATAAAGACGGGGACTTAAAAGCACCTGTTACTGTAAGGATTGAAGATGCCAATGATCATATTCCAGAGTTCACCCAGCCTTCATACAGCTCCTATATCAATGAAAGTGTCCCTGTGGGGACTAATATTCTATCAATTTCTGCCTTTGATAAGGACCGGGGGGAAAATGGCTATATCACATACAGCATTGCTAGTTTAAATTCACTCCCCTTTTCCATCAACCAGTTTACTGGGGTTATTAGCACATCTGAAGAACTGGATTTTGAGTCATCTCCAGAGAATTACCGATTTATTGTGAGGGCTTCCGATTGGGGCTCACCTTACCGCCATGAAAGTGAGGTTAATGTCACAATCATCATAGGCAACGTGAACGATAACAAGCCACTGTTTGAAAAGGTGGCTTGTCAAGGAGTCATCTCATCAGATTTTCCCGTTGGTGGGCATATCACAGCTGTGTCTGCTATAGATATTGATGAAATGGAGCTTGTGAAGTACAAAATCATTTCAGGTAATGAATTGGGTTTTTTTTACCTGAATCCAGACTCAGGAGTTCTACAGCTTAAAAAGTCTCTAGCCGGTGCTGGCATCAAGACCAGCAATTTTGGACTTCGGATAACAGCAACCGATGGGGAGTATTTTGCTGACTCTATGTTTGTCAACATTTCGGTAGTTCATGGAAAAGTCTCTTCCAAGACCTTTAGCTGTAGAGAGACAAGGGTTGCTCAGAGGCTGGCAGAGAAGCTGCTGAAAAAGGCCAAAGCCAACGTGAAACTTAATTCAGAAGATGGCTTCCTTGATTTTTATTCTGTGAACAGGCAGGCTCCACATTTTGATAAATCCTTTCCCTCTGACATATCAGTCAGAGAAGACCTTCCTGTTGGTGCTACCATATATCGAATCAAGGCCTATGATGCTGATTCTGGCTTTAATGGGAAGGTCCTCTATACCATATCATCTGGCAATACTGACAGCTGTTTTAATCTTGAAATGGAGACTGGTCTGCTTAAGGTCCTTATGGCCATGGATCGTGAGAAGACAGAACTGTATCTTCTTAATATTACCATTTATGATTTAGGCAACCCTCAGAAAGCCACATGGAGATTACTCACCATAACTGTGGAAGATGCAAATGATAACAAGCCTGTTTTTTTGCAGGAAAGTTACACAGTTAATATTTTGGAAAGTACAAGTATTGGTGTCGAGATTATCCAGGTAGAGGCCAGGGACCGAGATCTGGGAGCAAACGGAGAAGTGAGTTACTCTATCTTGACAGACACACAACAATTTGTAATCAATAACTCCACAGGGATAATTTACGTAGGAGATAATTTGGACAGGGAAGCCAAGGCAAATTTTACATTAAACATAGAGGCAAGAGATAGAGCAGAGAATGGGCACCAGCAATTTTCTGTTGTCCCCTTGAAGGTTTTTTTGGATGATGTCAATGATTGTGCTCCAGTTTTCATACCACCCAGCTATAGTGTGAAAGTCTTGGAAGATTTACCTGTTGGCACAGTCATTGCTTGGCTTGAAACTCAAGATCCAGATCTTGGTCTTGGAGGACAAGTACGCTATTCTTTGGTGAACGATTACAATGGGAGATTTGAAATAGACAAATCCAGCGGTGCCATCCGTCTCAGTAAAGAACTTGATTACGAGAAGCAGCAGTTCTACAACTTAACAGTACGAGCCAAGGATAAGGGACGTCCAGTTTCCTTATCCTCCATTTCCTTTGTGGAAGTCGAAGTGGTGGATGTGAATGAAAATCTCTACACTCCTTATTTTTCTGACTTTGTAGTCATTGGATCCGTGAAGGAAAATTCACGGATTGGTACAAGTGTTTTGCAAGTTAATGCTAGGGATGATGACACCGGCAGAGATGGTGAGATTCAGTACTCCATCCGGGATGGCAGTGGACTTGGACGTTTTAACATAGACGAAGAAACTGGTAGGTGGATCCTTCTTCTCTCTGCAATGTATAAGTAAAGGTGTTCCATCTGAGCCAAAGCCATGATTTCTGTCCGCCCTGCAGAATGACAGAAGTGGCATTGTCACCCTTGATACGGCAGTTTATACAGGAGCCCCATGATATAACTGAATTGGAAATTTCCCTAAGGGGCAAGTATGTATTTGAATCTAGCCTGGCTGTAGGGAACTGATGCATAGACATGTTTCTGTGTGCTTGTCTCTCTCTCTTGGTTATAGTAGGAAAGCTAGGTGCTGGTTGATGAAAGTGTTGTTTAAGTTTCTGCCTGCATATATTTTCCAATTGTAATGACAGTGATTGACTGTTCAGTTACATCTGCCCCGGCAGAGACACAAAATTGCAAACTTCCCTTTGCCACCTCTCTGTTCTAAGCAAAAAGCAAATGGTGCCTCTGTGTGACTCTATTACTACGGGGTATTATGGGGTGACAACTGTACATTATGCAGCCCAGTCTGTTAGACAGTCTGTACGCTCTTGACCCCATCAAAAACATGAAGTCTGATACAGCAAAATTAGAAGCGCAGAATGGACTGTCAGATTGATGGACCAAAGATGATTACCTTGGCTGATGCATTGTTCTTTATTATATTACTAGAGGGGCTTTTTTAAATAACCAATAAAATATGCAGAATAGGAATATGGTAATTCAGAATCAGCATAGATTAATCTAGAATTAAGTTAAGTGTAGAAAGAAGCTAGACATTTGAACTTCGTGCTTCTTTTATTTTTTTTAATGCAAAAGGTATTGAACGTTCTCATTTTCCAGAGGTGATTAAGGGTCTGAAGGCTTTCAGATATTTAAATTATGATTCTTCCCCACTGCCATTACTGAACATTATCAAAATCAGGGGAGGGAAAGGCAGAGAGGATGCATCCATATGATAAAATTGCAGCTAAACAAGCTGGTTGTTAAGTATCTAATAGGTGCTGGCATTAATGGAGTAGCTGTAACATTAGATTAAGTGAGGAAATTAGAAGTCATTACTTTGCATTTTGAAGAAATTTCATTAAGAACTAGCTTTGCATTAAGCTCTGCCCTAAGACTGGGAGGGAACAGAGGGCACCAATTCATTATTATCTCCTTTCTCTTACTGTCTTTTTTATGCCAAAGACATGATTGAAAGCTTTTAAAACAGGAAGACATATCATATGGTGGTTCTCAGTGGGAAATTCAGTTGTGTTTCTTGGGGCCTAGGGAAAATTCAGAGGCTCAGCCATTCCCCAGGCACCAAGAAGAAAAGGTTCACTCTGTATTTCTGGTGTCGTGATTTTTACATACAAAAAAGGCAGGATTTGGATTGTGATGCTTTGCTGATCGTCTTGCAGATGTTGACATCTCCACCACTGACCGATACCCATCAAGAATCTTATTGATCAGTTTTTCTACACCATCTGATACTGAAGAACTCTACCATCCTTTGGTGGTGCTCTTAGGAATCTGCATTGCCAACAAAATCTCAGCCACATTTTAATTGCCTATCCTCTTCTATAACAATTAGGCAAGCTGACATCTCAGGTTATGTGGTCTCCTAACTAGGGGTTTGTTTGTTTTTTTTGGCTGCTGGAACCCTTCCAACCTTTTTAAACATGAATTTTTCTATCCCAGAATGGCTCTTCACCATTTTGTGATAGAAAACATGCAACACGGTAGGCTAAGATAGTTCAAAAACTAAGAAAATCTCCAAAAATACATCACCCCCAAATGGGGGAGAAAATCTCAACCCTGCTCAGATGTGTCATATGGCCATATCAGTTACAGAGTTGCTTGTTGTTGTTTTTTATTATGATTTGTTTTGGTTGCCTACTCCAGTAGACTCTGAGTGGCTTACAAAATCCAAATAAAGAGTTAAAGCAATTAAAAAACATAAAAACAGTACAGGCAGCCCAGGCTTAAAATAAAAACACAAGAAGGGCCCATGAACACATTAACCCCAGACCTGGGAACAGGGGCAGGTCTTCAGGGTTTTCTGGGAGCCCAGGAGGGTGGGTGCTGTCCATATTTCTGGGGTTGCTGACAGAGAAGGCACACTTTCTTGGTCCCACAAGATGACATTGTTTATCTGAGAGGACTGGAGTGTACCCATTATGCTCAGACATACTGGGTGGGCAGAAACACTTAGAGATAGGCGTTCCCTCAGATAACCAGGCTCCATGCCATCTTCAAAACTTTCCTCTCTGCAAAGTAACAATATGATAATTATCTGCAATGTAACTATCAGATGTTGTTGTCTTTTTGAAAAAAAAGATCTTATGTGTTCTGCATCAAGGACTATTTTAAAGCAACATATAACATACATAGAAACTCTCAGGAATTACACCATTAAAAAAGGTCCCGTGTACTGTTTGTAACGCAGGGGGTTAATATGGCCTAGAACATGTTTCTTAAATAGAGGAGTAGATAATGGCGTCAGTATGGTTGATGGTAAAGATGCATTTTGTTCTCTGAAGGCCTATAATTTTTCTGTTTGGTCTAAAAGTACGAAAAGTCTCAAGCTATTTAATCAGACACCAATATTCAAGGTTGATTATGAAAGCGAGACAGCTGTATACACTCTGGGGTCTGGTTTATTAAAAAAAACAAGTGAAAACATATACTGTAAAACCTCTTTTGAGAGGCTGTGTTAACCCTTGGATTGTGTATTGGCAGCACAGTTAGAAATCCCACTGTCCAAAAATCTAGCTTTTGGATGACAAAGTCTTTCAAAGGCTTCTGCGTTTGAAACCCAGCAGTGGTCAGAATGGAAATGTGTTTCTCTGCGTCATCTGGAGAATGTTTTCAAGAAGTTTGTACGTATACATAATGCACGAACAGACGCATATATATCATGTGACTCTGGAAAAGGAGTAGAAAAGGGCAGCCAGAATACCTGAGAAGATTTAACAATACATGGAACTCTAAGTTTAAGGGAAGGGTCAATACATGCCCTCACAGTCATTGTTTTCTCAATTATCCCAAATCGGGGGGGCTTTTTTTATGTCTCATAAGTGTACTTCTGTTGGTGGGGAAATACGAACCACATTGCATTTAGGAAGTGAAGGATAAGCTCCTTCTGCCTATAAATTGGGATCATCATAAAAATGGGCTTCCTCAATTGAGAACGAAAGACCCATGCAGAGAGACACGCACGTAGCTTGTTTCTCAGAAAGAATATGGTTGAAGTTTATAGAATTACACACAGCAGGAGATGGGGGGTAGTGAGTTATTCCCTCTATATTCATATTGGAACCTGGGATCCCCCAAAGAAACTGCATGGTGAGAGATTTAGGGAAGGGAAGAGAAAATGCTTCTTCACACAGGGCATCATGAAGAATAAGGCTATCAATGGCTAATAGTCATAATGGATATAAATTACCTCTATGGTCAGAGGCAGTATGTCTTTGGAAGAAGGTTACTGGTAAGTACCAGTGGGAGAAAGCTAACGCTGACATGCTCCACTGCCTTTGGCTTTTGGCAGATATCTGATTCACCACTGTGAAGACACACTTTTAAATTGCTCTTTGACTTATCTCTCAAGAGATCTTCTTACATTATGCTTATTTATAGTCCTTATATATGCCTTTTTTCTCAGAATTGATCTTTTAGAATGTGTTGCTGTGAATCAAGATCTCTGAAGGACAGTCTCCTATGCAATCCTGCCCATTTGCTGACTGGGGAGATCTTGCTGCTGTATTGCCTTTTGAAGGGTGGTTGGTGGGTTCATGAGACATCTGTAACTGTAGAGAGTAAGGAAGATGACAATTGGTGGAAATTGCAGGAACCATTGCCTAGACAAAAGGGAATGAGGCATTTATTAAGTCCAGAACAATGAGATAACATTCAGAAGTGGATCAGGCAGACACCTTCCTAAGTCACTGAACTATAAGGAGGAGGAGGTACAGCACAATCAGACTTGCAAGATTCTGTTATTGTAGTCAATTTCAGTAAAAGTTGGGCAGGGGGTTGGACTAGGAGACCTCCAAGATCCCTTCCAACCCTATGATTCTATGATTCTGTTAGCCTCCTCCTTTCTGTGGAGTTGATTTCCTGAACTGGTCTACCTAGTGGGGTTGACATCAGTCTTGCAAGTAATATCGTTTCCCATCCCTGTTGCTCTGCATCATGTTTTAATGCAGAGGCTCTCAGATAGGAGATAGATTCACATAAAATAGGAGGTAGGATTGGAGATTAAACAGGATTACATCAGAGAATATCTCCTCCAGTATAATCCTGCCCGTTTACTGATATCAACCAGAGAGGCTTTTCTGCCCTATAGTCTTTTAAATTGTGGTTGATTGGAGCATGACACACAACATTGAGGTATCCATCCAATATCTGAAGCATCCTTCCACATCCCGGTAGCTCAATGTTTAGACACAAAGATACTCAGGATCAATCTCTGATATCTTCTGATAGGGCAAAAGAAACGCTTAATGAAACATTGTCAGTCGGTTCTGAACTACATGGATAGTCGTTTTGACAAGGTTCCTGTGGCATTTGCTTGAAGACTGAAAAAAAAAAATCTGTCTTGGAGAAGTTGGTTTTGAAAACCTTGTGCATCACCAAGGATTCTGGACAATGTTTCCTTCAATGTGGGGCACCATCTAGGTTTTCACATATTACTTGAGAAAATTGAGAGTGAATTCTAGAATATATCTAGCAGTCCTTAATTGCACATTCCAAGGGAAGATAACTCCGCTTAATGGGCAGAAATGATGGGAGAACTTCTTTTAAGATAGTGGCAGACTGAAAACCCTATTGAACAATAAATCAGCTGTAAAAGTCACTGGCTTGAAATAATTGTTAAGAAGAGAGATCTATTTATTTTATGTGTTGCTCTTTGGAACTACTTGGAACTGACCTTGGCTGCGGCTTATTTATAAGATTCCTGGAAACTTGTGCAGCTAAGCAAAAATGGGAAGGGGAAATAAATAAAAAAAGTAAAAGCAATTTTTACTATTCTTACTGTTACAAAAAGTGGGCT